GCTGGTCTGACCCAATCCTCTTCTCCTGGTCCTTGGGTTTTTGAGTCAGGAGCAACTGATTATATTACTGGTAACAAATCTTTGTTCTCCTCTTTATCCTTTTTCTAATCATTTACCTTTTGTTACACTAGTTGATGACTCTAGAGTATCATCTCATGGTGTTGGAATTGTTAAACTTTTCCCTTCTTTAACCATTGATAATGTTCTTTATGTCCCTAGGTCTCCTTTTAACCTATTCATCAGTCGTCTAACTCGTTCTCTTGATTTTATTGTTTCTTTTACCAACAATTATGTGTGTTTACAGAATCGGAGTTCGAAACAGGTGATTGGCACAGGATGTGAGTCTCATGGTCTTTATCATCTCCGTCCCTCTACACGTGTTGGTGCAATTATGGAATCTCCCTCTCTTCTTCATGCTCAGTTAGGTCATCCAAGTCTTGCCAAGTTACAGAAGTTTGTCCCTGCCTTGTCCAATTTGTCTAGTTTGGCGTGTGAGTCATGTCAATTAGGCAAGCATAGTCGTAATTTCACTCTAACATTTGGGGACCTAGTCGCATTAAGTCTACTTTAGGTTTTCAATACTTTGTTACTTTCATTGATGATTATTCCAGATGCACTTGATTATTTTTTATGAAAAATCGTTCTGAATTATTTCAAATCTTTCAAATTTTTTTTAATGAAATTCAAACTCAGTTCGGTATTTCTATTAGAGTTTTGCACAGTGATAATGACCGTGAATATCTTTCTCATTCTTTTAAACAATTCATGGCTTCTCATGGTATTTTCCATCAAACTTCTTGTGTTTATACACCTCAAAAAAATGGTATAGTGTAACGTAAAAATAAACATCTTATTGAAACAACTCGCACTCTTTTAATTCATGGAGAGGTTCCTCAACATTTTTAGGGTGATGTTCTTCTTACTGCATGTTATCTCGTTAATCACATGCCTTCTTCGGTTTTAGATAATAAAATACTCATTCTATTTTAATCCCTCATGAACCAATTCATCCTTTACCTCTAAGAGTTTTTGGGTCTACATGTTTTGTTCATAATTTCAGTTCTGATGTTGACAAGCTTTCTCCTAGATCACATAAATATGTTTTCTTAGGGTTTACAAGATCACAAAAATGATACAAATGTTTTTCTCCTTCTCTTAACCGTTATTTTGTATCTGTAGATGTCATCTTTGATGAGTTCTCTCTTTATTCTAAAAGTCAATCTTCACATCTGTCTCCATCCAATCCTGTCAACACTTCTAGTACATTTAATGTTCCTGTTGTTTGTGACCCTATAACTGTGTCTTTTTCACCATTAGTTCCTGTTGTGCAGTTAACTTATTCTCCACCGCCTCTTCAGGTTTATAGTTGCAGAAACCAATTACAACCACCACCATGTGACTCCACTCAAGTGCCAATTACTCTGTCTCCTCCGAATCTGACACCTGAGTCTGACATTCCCATTGCCCTCTGAAAAGGTATTCGTTCTACACGTAATCTCTCTCCTCATTATATTACTTTGAATTATCATCGACTGTCATTACCTTTTTATACATGTCTTTCCTTCTGACCATTCTAAAAACTGTTCATGAAGCTTTTGCCCATCCTGGTTGGCGTCAGGTCCTGTTAGATGAACTAAGTGTTCTTCATAATAGTGGAACTTGGGAATTGGTCTCGTTACCATATGAGAAATTTGTTGTTGGTTGCAGGTGGGTGTTTGCTATCAAAGTTGGATCTGATGGTACTATTGATCGCCTCAAAGCTCGTTTTGTGGCCAAAGGTTATACTCAAATTTTTGGGTTGGATTATGAAGATACATTTTCCCTCCTGACAAAGATTGCTTCTATTCGTTTATTTATTGTCATGACCGCTCTTCAACAATGACCCCTTTATCAACTGGATGTTAAAAATGCTTTCCTCAATGGTGATTTGCAAGAAGAAATCTATATGGAGCAACCTCCTAGGTTTGTTGCTCAGGAGGAGTCTTCTGAGATGGTATGTCATCTTCACAAATCCCTATATGGCCTAAAACAATCTCCTAGGGCCTGATTTGGAAAGTTTAGTAAGGTTGTTCAACAATTTGGTATGACTCGGTGTGAAGCAGATCATTTTGTCTTTTATCGACACTCGAGTGCTAGATGTGTTTACTTGATAATATATGTTGATGACATCGTTATTATAGGTAGTGATAACCATGACATTTCTCAGTTGAAACAACATCTCCATCACCATTTTCAGACCAAAGATCTTGGTAAACTTAGATATTTCTTGGGTATTGAGGTGGCACAGTCCAATGATGGTATTGTTATATATCAGAGGAAGTATGCCATAGATATTTTGAAGATAACTGATTTAATGAGTTCAAAGTCTGTTGATACACCCATGGATGCCAATACTAAACTTCTACCAAATCAGGGGGAGCCTATATCTGATCCTGAGCAGTATAAGATTGGTTGAAAAAATAAATTATCTTACAGTTACTCATCTTGACGTTTCCTTTGCAGTCAATGTGGTAAGCCAATTTCTTAATTCCCCATGTGAAGATCATTGGAATGCATTCATTTGTATCTTGAAGTATATTAAAGGATCTTCTGGAAAAGGATTGTTATATGGTTCTAATAACCATACAAGAGTTGTTTGTTACTCAGATGTTGATTGGGCATGATCTCCTTTGGATAGAAGATTTACATCTAGATATTGTGTCTTCATTGGTGGTAACTTGATCTCATAGAAAAGTAAGAAACAAAGTGTTGTGGCAAAATTCAGTGCAGAAGCAGAATATAGAGTTATGACCTCAGCTGCCTGTGAACTTGTTTGGCTCAAATAATTGCTTAAAGAGTTATAATTTGGAGATGTCACTCAAATGATACTTGTGTGTGACAATCAGAATGTTCTTCATATTAGCTCTAATCATCTCTTTCATGAGAGGACCAAACATATTGAGATTGACTGACATTTCATTCGAAAAAAGATTATGTCTGGAGACATCAAGACTGAATTTGTTAACTTAAGTGATCAGTTAGCAGATATTTTTACCTCTCTATTATAAATAGATTATCTTATGTGTGGTTTATATACAACAGATATTAATCTCAAACCCTATTTTTTTATATTCAACAGAATTATTACAAAATATAATTATCATAATCAATGAACTATTGATATTATAATTTTTTTGAAGTAAAAATGTTAAACTCTTCAATGATTTATTAGTTAGAATTATATAATATTTAATAATAATATACAATATTATGAGTTTTGGTTTCTTTGGGTAAAATATTACGAGTTTTGATTGTCAATAAAACAATAGTAATAAAATTTAATAATATATTATAAATGTAACTAATTCGCAAAAGGAAAATCAGTGAACATGAAATATAAATTTAGTTAATAATTATCTTCATTCAAAATATTATTAGATAAGTGTACATTTCACACTCGATTATTAATATATAATGCTGTGAAATAATATATTTTTTTGCATATAATTTTCAGTTTGTTTCCTTGAAAAAAAATTATGGCAAAAAGTGTCAATACTGGACATGTAACTCTTGAAGATATAATCAGAATGCTGTCATTCAAGTCACCCAAAGAAAACCAAACCTCGAACTAAAAAAGTTATCATTTTTTATTTCATATACCATAGTTATCTTTATTTTAAATAGCAAGAGTAACTTAAAGTGATTAGTGTGGTTAATAAAATGTGAAACGAGATTAAACCAGTTGAGTTGAAGAAAAAGAGAAAAACTTGTTTCTTCTAACCATGCATGGGAAAAAAGTTTTGATGGTTTTCTATTAAACTAAACTGTGATACCAATTGAGTTATCTACAAAATTAAGCTATGCTTTGAGTTAAACAAATTATTGTCAAACCTAAACATAGATTAGACAAATGACAGAAAATAAAATAGCTATAGAGATTGGAATTAGTGGGAAAACAATAATTTATAAGGTAGTTAGGGAATTCGGAGATAGAAAAAGGAGTAATTAAATAGTTAATGATTAGATAATTGTGACGAGAGCCAATAGAAAATGGAAAAGTGTCGTAGGTTGATTTTAGCGTCACCCCACACCACAGCTACGATGAAGGGTTAAATATTGTACAAGTTAACACCCACTCTCTTTCATGGACGTATTATATTACACTAATTCATTCCACTCAATACAAAGTCAAACAAAAAATTGTGGAGCCTCTGTTTCAAAAATTGTACCATTTAAAAAGAGGAGTGAGTTTCTGACACGACAGAAGCGCGTGGGGATTTTGTGTTGTGCTAGATAACATTGGACAACTTCAAAACCACAAAATAAAACCATCCTCTAGAATATAGCCACGTGTCTCGGTATCCACCATGTGATACATGGGCAGCCTCAAAGCACTAGAAAATATCTGAGAGAGGGTGGATTTAAATGTTAATATCTTTGTGGCGGCGGGACCCACCAGCGCGAATTGTCCCACACGAAAAATATCCAAATGCGTGCATATACATATTAAATTCTTGATATTTTGGATTTGGATTGGAACGATAGGAGGGAAATAATAAGAACCAAAAGAATAAATAAAAATAAAAGGAGGTTGAAAAAATATCCACCACCAGCACCAACCACGAGAACCCAATGGCTTTTTGGCTTTAGATCTTTGGTCTAAAATCAGATCTGACTGATGACGTGGAATGTGTGGGCCCGCGCCTACAAGTGTCTAGATATTTTCGGAAACAAGGATATTTTCGCCAGCCGTTGGATCCAAGGGCGGTTAACCTTCGTGTATCGTCCCAGGCCGTTCGATCAACTTTGAGTTGAACTTAACGGTGTCTCTCCTTCCACCTTTGCTTCCACACATCGCCTTTTTCTTTCTTGCTTTTTGGTTTTTACCCTCCAAAATTGGATACAAGATATGAGATTGTTGCTCTCTCTGTGTGCTTCGTGAAGGAGGTTTTGCTTCCGCCAAGGTTCTCTATTCTGATGCTGTAGTGCGATTTTGGTAGCAGGGTTGATTCAGTTGGAATATGGGGGAGGTGGTGATGAGTGGAGAGAAGTCAGTGAGAGTTGAGGAGGAGAGTGGGAGTGGGAGCAAGGGTGAATTGAAGGGCTTGATGAGGTGGGAGAAGTTTATGCCCAGGATGATTTTGAGGGTGTTATTAGTTGAAGCCGATGACTCCACAAGGCAGATTATAGCCGCGCTTCTCCGAAAATGCAGCTACAAAGGTTAGCCATCCTTCTTCTATCGCTTCGGTTCTTTAATTTCACGACGCTGATTTTATTTTTGTTTTTCTTTCTCCTTTTTTTGTGATTTTTTTTGCTCATTTGACTCGACCTGAATATGGGAACTCGCTTGCTTCTTTTACGGTCAAGATTATATTTTCCTTTTCTTTTTTTTAAGTTTTACTGTTTTTATTTTTATTTTTTCTCTTTACATTACTTTCTCTTTTGTTCTATTTCCTATTCTCTGGCTTGCATGTTCGATTGCTTGCTGTTAAATAAGCATGTGAGTTGGTTTGTTCTGCTTTCTCCTCTGTCACAGTTCTGATTTTCAGGGATGAAACCGTGAATTTGATTTATTGTAGACATTAGGTTCGAGTCATTAGGGATATTATTGACCAGACTCAATTAGGGGGGGAGCAAGAAGAAGAAGCTATAGGAAATCGAAATTTTTGGAGTCCCAATATGAAAAAGGATTGACATGTGATCTTTGGTAATATAAAGTGTGCCAGCAGTCTGAAAGCTTATAAGGATTTAATAAAGAAAAAAAAATTGGAGAGAGAAATGAAAAACTTTTTCCACAAAAATGGGCCTTCAATTTATTTAATAACGTTTTAATAATTTTTTTTCTTTTTAAAAGAAATTTTCTATTTTCTTACAGGTTATGTGATGGGGATCTGGGTTCAATGAAAGTCTAAGGAACTAATGGCTCCTTTCAACTTGCTTTAAGAGTCTTGGCAGTTTGGAAACTACGGGCTTACATAATACAATTATTTTCTTACGTGATATAATTATCTTAGTCGTCTATTTGCCGTAGAGAATTTCTATTATCGACCTTTTCTTCTGGTTTAAAAGTTTAATGTGAGACAATTTAGTACTTGAAACTAATTACATACTCTTAGGACTTGAAAATAACTTTGTTCATCTGTTTTGAGCAGTGGCTGCTGTTCCAGATGGCTTGAAGGCGTGGGAATTACTCAAGGGAAGACCTCACAATGTTGATTTAATACTGACGGAAGTGGATTTGCCATCCATATCTGGCTATGCACTTCTTACGTTAATTATGGAGCATGACATTTGCAAAAACATCCCTGTCATAAGTATGATATCACTGCTAAATGTTTTAGCTGTCACTGAAATTTTTTACCTTTGTTAACACCTGAAGTATTTAATCTGAATTTCTTAATGCTTTTCCAGTGATGTCTTCCCAAGATTCAATCAGCACGGTATACAAATGCATGCTGAGAGGTGCTGCTGATTATCTTGTTAAGCCCATTAGAAAAAATGAACTGCGGAATTTGTGGCAACATGTTTGGAGAAGACAATCAGTAGGACTTCTATTCATTCATTTTCGGTTCCTTTTTCCTTACTTAAAATGTCTCATGTTATTGACAACTGGTTAAAATTTTAATTTATTATATTCTCCCTGTCAGTCAACCACTGGCATAAATGGTACCCAAGATGAGAGTGTTGCACAGCAGAAGGTTGAAGCCACTGCGGAAAATAATGCTGCTAGTAATCGTTCAAGTGGTGACGCTGCTTGCATTCAGAGAAATATGGAATTAATTGAGAAAGGAAGTGATGCACAGGTTAGTTTTCCACACCTTGAAGTTATTATTATTGCATTTATTTCAAGACATTTGTGGCAAAGGACAATGAACAACACAATCACATACATTGGCTATGTCACTAGACTTGCAGGGGATGTAGAGTTTCGATAGAACCATCTAATTATCAATTTATTTATTTATTCTGGTTAGTTTCATTGTGAATGAGAATGTTTCTTTCGAGACGCTAGGATAAATTGATACTATACTCATTATAATCTCCAGTGTGGTCTCTTTTGCATGCTAATCTTGAATCAGCTTGAAAATTCTAGCATATCTATCAGAAATTGTCCAACAGTTATTTCTCAATTAAATTTTCTTTTCTACTTCCTTGGAACACTACCAAACCATATACTACCTTTTGGTGTGGCAACGGTCCACCAAAATACATTTACTTGGTGTATTTAATATTTTCCGGTAACAGTTTATTTCTGTAATCCTCTTATAGTTAAAAGAAAAAAATGCTTTCAGTTTCGGTTATCTGGATGAAGTTTTCATGTAGAGACTGTATTTTTGCTTTCTGTTGCAGAGTTCTTGTACTAAGCCCGACTTGGAAGCTGAGACTGGCCCTGTTGATAACATGCAGGAATTTTCTCCTCCAAAATGTGGGGAAGAATATCCAAGTGGAGCAGAGACACAAGAGGTTGAAACCTGCATTCGATTAGGACAGACATTGATGATGCGTGACAGTCATGCTGGAGGTAAGTTTCTCCCACTTAATGGCAAATCTTTTGTTAGACAGTTACGTCAAAAGGAATAATGTCTAAAATTGAACCAAACTTGTATTTTTTAGGATTAACTATACACAAAAATGGTGAGGCAAGCACAACTAATGGCAAGGTTGTTGATCCAGAGCATCTTAGGAATGCTAGCATCAGCGGTGAGGCTCATGACAATCACTATGTTCAAATTTCCAAGGAAGCTATTGACTTGATTGGAGCATTTCATACACATCCCAACTGCACGCTAAAAAATGCCACAGTTGATTGCACAGGCAAGGTTGACCTTTCTCCTCAATTGGATCTTTCTCTGAGAAGATCTCGTCCCAGCAGCTCTGAGAATGAACTCAGTGAAGAAAGGCATACCCTGATGCATTCTAATGCTTCAGCCTTTAAGCGGTAACTGCTAAAATCTCTTGTTATCCTCATTTTAAATTTGTTGAAGTTACTTCTAGTTCTTTTAGCCGGTAGAAATCAGTTGCTTGCCATATGTCTGCACATCTTCCTTATTTAATTAACTTAAAGGAGTTCCGGGGTTGCAAGGAGTGTGAAATAACAAAATCTCCAGTTTAATCATGTAGTAACAGGTTGAGTTCAGTTTTGTTAAAACTACCTGCTGAAAAATATTAAAGGATGGTGATTGTCGAGTGATAATTTTGAGAAACTTTACATTTTAAAAATGGGCATAATGCTCGGGAACTAATTAAAATTTTGATAACTAAATTTTACGTAATTCGGGTTGTTTCTTCTTTAGGATGGGGAAGAAGCTGGTAAGTTTATGAATTGTCAATTGACCTTGTAAAATTTCACTGCCCAATTGAATTTCTATATGCTTATCATTGAAATGGATGCAGGTATACTAACAGGCAATTGCAAGTATTGACGCCTGCAGTGTTAAATAACTTCTCTGATCAACAAAGAGATCAGAGAACAAATGGTGAGAAAAGCATCTCACACATAGTTACTGGCTGCAACTCGGATAGTTCAACACCTGGTATGCCAAGATGTATAGTGTCTCCAACTACGGTCCATCCAAAAGAATCTGAACTTGCAACCTCACACTCTCAGCAAGGGCATTCTCGCCCAATTCCAGTAAAGGGTGTAAGGTTCAATGATCTATGCACAGCCTATGGTTCTGTACTTCCTTCAATGTTTCGCACACAGTCAGGTCCACCAGCAATGCCAAATCCAAGTTCAGTTGTGCTCTTTGAACCAAACTTTCAAGTAAACGCATTTTATCAGTCAAACAGGAAAGAGAGTAGTTCGGAGCAGATTTATGAACCTCTTGGTCCAAATGGAAACAGTTCCCAGAACCACATTGTGTACACACAGGAACGTAAATCAGAACATGCAGAGGATCGAGGGCATATCTCTTCTACAACTGATCAAAGTGCGTCAAGTAGTTTCTGTCATGGAAACGCAAGCCATCTTAACAGCATTGGTTATGGAAACAACTGTGGAAGTAACAGCAATGTTGATCAAGTTACCACTGTCAGGGTAGCATCAGAGAGCAATAATGGGGACCTCACAAACAATGCAAACTCTCATCGATCTATCCAAAGAGAAGCAGCACTAAACAAATTCCGGTTGAAAAGAAAAGAGAGATGCTATGAGAAGAAGGTTCACAACTATCTGCCTAACATTGTATTATAGGAAGACTATCATTGTTTAAAAAAGATGCTAACTTTTTCTTATACTTTTAAACAGGTTCGATATGAGAGCAGAAAGAAACTAGCAGAGCAGCGTCCCAGAGTGAAAGGACAATTTGTTCGTCAAGTTCATCCTGATCCTCTTGTTGCAGAAGAAGATGGCCAAGAATATGATCATTCACAGATTTCTGACACACTGGAGAGGAGAGTATGAACACTTGGTATATAATTGCTTCAAAATTTTGTTTTCCTGGATCCTTAAATACCAGATTTCTGTATATGCGTTCTAAAACCATTTTTCTCATTTTCCCTTGCTGTAGATCGTGATATATAACATACCTAATGTATTTTTATGTCGTTGTAATTTTATACAGTTTTATAGAGATATTCGTGCCCATTATTTATTTACTTTTAAGAAGTTGTTTACTTACAAGGGCTAACTACAGATATCATGTAAAAGAGTTGTTAATGATCCATAACGTTATGATCTTTTTTATAAGTAGTAACTACCATTTAACTTTTTATGTTTTATTCAGTACATGCACCTCCTTTTTTTCAGTTAAAAATTTGGTTTACATAAGGTGGTTGCAGGTTTAGCAAGCAAACTTTTCTTAAAGAGTGCATATATGAAAGAGTTTCGAAAGTGATTCCCGTCCCACCACCACTACCTATATATTCCTTCCCCACAAAAGGAGAATTGAAAAATAGAAAAATAGAAAAAGAATTAACATTGATTTCCATTGGAAGCTGCATGATATCAGGACGCCATCTACCTTTTTAATAGCTTTGCCGTGTTACTTCGTAGTCTGTGACCAACTTTTCAATGTAATTCAAATAATGATTCATTTAGTTTCTTGAATACATTTCTTTCTTTTACAACTGTTAATGTTATTGAGTGTTAATTTTGATGACAATTTTTAATTTTATTTACAAAAAAAAATCAAAATTTAGGCTATCTTATTATTAATTTTGAATCTTTGTTCACATTTTTTATTTTAATTTTTCGAAGTCACCAATAATAAAGGTTTAAAATTTTTTGTATGCACAACTTTATTGAGAGAAAAAAGTATCAGTATAAATTTTTGTTTAGATTAAAATGTATTTATGTATAATACATATTTATTTATGAGAAAGGAAAGTGTAATTTAATCATATATTTTTTTTAAAAAGGCCTTTTTTTAGAAAAAGAAACATATGATTAACAATATTTTTTTTTTGAAGAATTTTAAGAAAATTAGATGATGAGTTCCTTTTTCTTTAAAAGAAGAAAAAGCTTATTATAATTTTTCTCAAGTCTTTTCTGATTTTCTTAAATAAATGTTATATCCCGAATATATATATATATATATATATATATATATATATATATATATATATATATATATATATATATATATATATATATATATATATATATAGTGTGTGTGTGTGTGTGTGTGTGTATTTTTTTTCTTTCAAAATTTTGTCCACACACTTTTAATGAATACAAAGGAGTAAAACAAAGTTTGCCTTCAAGAATTGCAGGTAGCAATAAAGCGTTTGTATTCTTTATTAAGTTTGTGGATAAAATCTGAGGAGATGTATGCAGACAGAAACAGAATACACACTTAAGAAATGGACAAATGCTAGTAGCCAAATGCATATACTCCATCAGGGGACCCTTTGTCATTCTGCAAATAATAATGCCAAAGGTCAGTCCCCCATCCTTTCCTTCTTTGTACTCCCCAACAACCAAATTTCAAGATGATTCACATTACTTGATGCTTTAGCAATACATTTAGCCTATTTCATTGCTTTCTCAGGTTCTTTTTATACACAACTTCAAGAACCAACATAATCACTAAGCTGTGTCAGCAATTTATGTTGTTTCCTTTAGGCTATTGAGGTCTTGATGTTTAAGTTTTGGATAAAAAAAAGTAATGGGGAAAGTTTATTCCTGCAATTTAATTCAAATTAATTAGAGTAAAGATTCCAAATAATTTCTAAATATAGAAAATGAAAGAAGAAAGAGGAAACAAAACCAGTATGACTAGAGATGTGGAATCTTTATTTATCTCCCAAAACTAAGCAAAAGGTTTCCCCCTTAAATAATCTGCACATAAGGGGAGTCTTTACTGTCCATAAGCAAAGACAAAAGAAATTGAGAAGCAGAGCTGAGAAGAGGAGAAACCGCTGGATCATGGAGTCATCAACTTCTATCAAAACTCATTGATAACTGAGAAAAGGAACTTTAAATGTCAAAAAATCTGCAATCAATACTCAATTATAACTGAGAAAGGAACTTTTAATATAAAAAAAATCCAAGCAAAATATTATCTGTCTCTTGAATAATATGAACGTGATGGGGGCTTTATGGTTCCTATTATTCAATGGTAATCAATAGAAATTTAGCAACAAACCTGATAGAAGGAGAAACCACTAGGTTATGGGGTCATCAACATCTCTTGACTGAAGGGGTCAATATTCAATAAAAACTGATAAAAAAAGGTACTTTTAACGTGAAACGTCTCTGCTATGGGGTATCTAAACTCTAACTAAAAGGGTCCTATATGGGCAAATGACCCAAAATTAAAGCAATCAAATGGTCCACCATTACTATGTATTGATATGCATTATGGAACTTGACTTGGTAACCCTTTACTTGATTACTATTATGTGTATAGTTAATCAACTTCATAAACTGAGGCTAGCCCCTTAACTAGAAAATCATCACAACCACAAATGTCAGCAATTTTTTTAATAATACATCACACTATGCCGCTAGGATATAGTTTCCTATGCGCACAAGCGAGAGGGCATGCCACTAGGCCATTTGTGCCATATCTCCAATCATGAACAAAGGCTATTCAGTCTATTCCCTCTACGTCTCTTTTATTTTATTTTTTTCATAAAAAAGCGTTAGCTTTTGCCTTTCTTTTCTAATCACCCATTATTGCTTAAAGAGTTATCACGTATCACCATATCTTCTTCCTTCAATCATCGTGTCAGTATCATATTGTATATACTATATACCATCATTTTAATTACAATTCTCAAAATTATCCTTATCTGATGTATCTTAGGGCAATAGGGTATCCAATATATTTGACACGAGGAACTGGGCCCCATTGCATTATGTGTACCCTCTTAATGCCACGTGTATGACTCTGTGACTAAAGTTGGTAATCACCACCAGTGACGTGCACTTCATGCGGCTACTTGGCTTGGTCTCTTTACCATGTTATGTTTGCTTGTTCCTTATTCTTGTAACTACATACATAACTTTTCCATGTTTAAGCAAAGAAGCAATATACAAAGAACAACTTAAAGATATTTGGTTTACTTGGAAGTTTTGATTGGTAATGTTTCCTGGAGAAGTAGAACACTTTTAATTTGGGGCTAACTCAAGTAACGCCATTTTATCGAATGCTTTAGTATTAAATATCAAAGTTGGTATGAATTACAAGTAGGTTGGATATTCAATTGAGCACTTTTTTTTTTTGTGTTTGCTTAAATTGCTAAAACGAAGTTTTGTCTGAAATGAGATCTTTTGAAAAAGTAAGCTACTGTGGACCCAATTGCGCCAAAAAGAACAGGTTGGATCGGGAACAGTCATTGCCACAAATTTGGTACCTAGCGTTGTGTGGCGGTCTCAATCATCTCATTACACAAAAGGGTGAAAACGACCACAGAGGTTTATGGCCTAAATAAAGGAAGTAGAAGTACTACTGTGAAACAACCGTAAATATCTATTACATTAACACAACTAGGTTACCTTAGAGGCTTTCTACAGTGTATCTTGTTGAACTTTATGGTGCTCATAACCTTTGAACTATGAACGTGCAATCTTTGTTTTCAAGGGAAAAGACTAAAGCTTGCCCTGTACCACTGAAACTTCGCTCTTATTTCTTTGCAAAAGATTATGAAAAAAATAAATGGTTTGGTAGGAAAAAGTGATGGAAAACGGTGCAGTGACATTCGGATGCACCAAACTACACGTTCAAAACAGTTCAATCTGTGTGTCCCAAAGTGCATACATAATCAAGGAACGTTTTCCTCATCTTTTATGGTTTTTGATATCTGCATGATATGTTTTTCACTGATTACTCCCTTGTCTATGTGTATAACATTCTTATCAGAAAATTGTCTGTCTCTTATTACAAGATCCATTTATTATTGAATATTTTTTACTTTTTTTAAAGTTTTACTTCAAAAGAGAAGGGCAATTAGTAATATATTATTGGAATTGATGTACTGAAAATAATCATGTTTAAATAACATTGTTAATCTTTAAAAAAGAAGGTGAACAAAGTGTATGGTTCAGAAGCCTAAAAAAGTCGTGTTATTTTTCAACGAAGTTAACAGCTGAATTTACCCATACTAATAGGACGCGTGTGCGTCTGTGCCATGCCAGAATTTCCTTACAATATATCAAGCAATTTTCCAGAAGCTTACGACTTTAATATCTGATAATAATAATAATAATTAAACACTAATAGTCGCCACCAGGGGAAGTCCAGTGCTACCGGTCAAAAGCATGGTTGCAGACATAATCATTGTTGCTTTCTGCACTCTTTATAAAGCACTCGACCCCCACCTCATCTTCCTTAACGTTGTAAGCTTTCCTTATATCAAGAATCAACTCTCTCTCTCTCTCCCTCCCCCTTTCTCTTTCTCTTTCTCTCACAAATGTCTAAAATCACGATAACCTCTCCGAAACCTTGTGATGCAAAAGAAGGATTGAAAATTAAGAGCAACTACAAGAAGCTCTACTTGACTTTGTCAGCATTTTTCACCACAATCCTACTACTGATACTTCTTATTTGGCTCATCCTCCACCCTGCCAAGCCTCAATTCTCCCTCAAAGAAGTTGACATCTACCAGCTCAACCTCTCAGGCCCCAACCTCAACTCCTCCATCCAACTCACCTTCCTCGCCAAGAACCCAAACCAGAAAGTTGGCATTTACTTCGACGAGATTCAAGTCTATGCAACCTACAAGGGGCAGCAAATTACCGGTGATACCCCTGTGCCACCCTTCTACCAAGCCCAAGAGGAGAGTAATCTCATAACAGCCTCTTTGATGGGAAACACTTTACCCGTGGCTCCCTCTCTTGGCTATGAACTGGGTCGTGATCAAAATGTTGGAAGACTAGTTTTGAATCTCAAAGCCAATGGAAAGCTTCGTTGGAAGGTGGGAACATGGGTCTCTGGACGTTACAGGTTCAACGTTAATTGTGTTGCTATCAATGCCTTTGGACCCTCTATTCCTGCAGGTCCTCTCACTTCAAAGCAAGGAGCGCAGTGTTCTACCACAATTTAGAATTACATCATCTTGCTAACTTCCACATATAAAGATAATGATATAATCTAGTACTCATGTCAAGGCGAGTTATTCAAGCTTTCTTGTTTGCAGATTTTGGTTGGCTTTGTATTGAAACGTATTTTGCAGCCACTAAGTGATTTGTAAATAAAATATATGTTAATGATAGGACAAAAAGTTACACTTTGTGAGTGAAAATGAAAAGAGAATGCGTATTAGATGGTTAATCTTATCTCTTTAATTTGCTTTTAGTTTCATCTCTTTCTCTTTCTCTCTTTTTTGCTCGCACTATCTACTGAAATTTGTTTTGCTCAACCCGTAATGGTAAAACTAGAAGTGAAAAGGAGTTCATTGTTGGATTTCATGTTACCTCACTAGTGGCTTTTGGGAGTGGATGCATGAGTAGATGTTGGGTCACCTTTGTTTCTTTGGTCATTTTGTGGATGAGAAGGAAAAAATTGAAGAATCTGTAGACGTGATTCTGAGAAGAGAGAGTGAAAGAAAAGGGAGGAAATTGGTAGCTTTCTTTGGAGAATCTGCAGATTTTACATGTCAATTCCTTGCCTTTAAGAATTATGTATGGTATACTTTAATCAAACTTTTGGTTACTATGAATCAGCTTACATTTTTTCTGTCTTTTTTTTAACAATAAGAGATGATACTGGCCATGCATGTCTCAAACGAATATACCAATAAGGGGATGCTAACGGTGGGATTCATAGTTAAAACTTTACTACTTTCTTTTTTTTCTGCATTTTTCTCTCACGCATTCATATTATCAAGAGCTACTCCTTCATCTATGCGACCATGCCAGCATCGTCCGAATTCTTAATTACATGCATATGCTGAAGCTGCCAGTTGAAAAACTTGTATATATTAGTTTAACTAAGTCAAAAAGGTCTGAACGATTGTTGTTAGGTATTATACAAGTATTTATAAAAAATAAAAAACTAGTACTTCTGGAAATAAAAAACTTGAATTAAATTTATATTTCTGCAGTTTTTGTGTTCATCTTATAGGCTGTAGTAGATATTTTTACAGTTCAAAAAAACTAGTAATATGAAATATGAAGAGAAAAATTCTTTGAAGTTGCATACTCTTTGCAATACGCGTTGCTATTGAAAGCTAATGGTTTACCAAACAGACGCAAAATGTAAACCTACAAAAGTTAAAGCAGCAAGTTTGGTAATTATAGTTTTAAGCTCAGATCCTCTCTCATCATATTACTCTTCTAATATAAAATTATAGTGGCTAAAATATTGTAAAGTCAGATAACTTTTTCAGGATTATAAAAGCCAAAAATATATACCAACCGGTCCCTACAAATGGGAACTGATATTAAAGTGAAAATGGCAAGGAAAAACACAGGAACTTGACAAGAGCAAGCATTTCCACTCACCATTAACAAATTCCAGAGTCCCAAAGATGTAAAGCAATATAAAAGTTTTCAATTTCAATTGGTCTAACTAGGAGGGTGATGCAGAATTCAGAGTCTTCAAAACGAGAACCCTCTTCCACATTGAGTAGAATTGTAGAAAGAAGCATTATGGCTAAAAGTGTCCCACTTAGTACCTTTGATAAACAAAGTCAGCCAAAAGGAACCAACCTCAACAGAAATTCTTTATAAAAGGTAACTTTAAACTCGTCTACTTTGAGAAATTACAATGTCTTCAAGTAATCATGTAACACAAGTCTTATTTATTATTTGTTTTAGTGAAAAAAAAATGCTTGAATTTCAAAGTGAACGAGAAGATAGAATTTTTTTTAAAATGCTTTTACTTTTTTTTCTTCAATCAAACAAAATAAAATATATAATCTTCATACTTTTTGTCTTTTTATTTTTTCTTTTCTTTTCATCTCAATAGACTATTAGTATAAGTAGTATACAAACAATTCTGGCGTAAAATGAAAGTAATGAGCAACAAATATTAAACTTTAAGAAACACAATTAATATAGTCCTTTAAACTTTCTTGAGGGTGAACAAGCATATATAAGCATATATAATGTTTGATGAATCAATGGTTTAAATGTGTAATTGTATATAAAATATTTAAGTAAACATTAATATTTTGTTTGGTATATGAAATAAAAAAAGAGATAAAATATATGTTTATATATAATGTTTGATGAATCAATGGTTTAAATGTGTAATTGTATATAAAATATTTAAGTAAACATTAATATTTTGTTTGGTATATGAAATAAAAAAAGAGATAAAATATATGTTTATATGCTCACCAGTCTCACATCTCTTAGAAGTCAAGAATAAGGGTAGTTTAAATATATATTTCTCTCTTAACCTACCAAGATGATAGAAAAAATAATACAAAAATCTAAATTACCAAATTATGTAGCGGAAATAATTTCTCTAAACTTACAAGAATATGTAAAGAGCAATAATAAGATAATGACAAAATAATCACAACAAAAAATTTTAGCAAATAAAAAAATCATAATTTTAGTGAATAAAAAACAAACCCACATAACAAGTCTGTCAATCAAGATAAAAAAAAATCATATTTTTAGCAAATAAAAAAAAATTCACATAAAAATGATCCTTATACTTTTGAAATGATTGGAATAAGTCTTTATTTTAAACGGCGTTAAATATATGGTGACATGTCTAACAGAGATAGTGTGACTCATTCATTATTTGACACGTATAATTTTTTTTTTTTAAAGAGCAAAGCTCTTCTTTAAAAAAATAGAAATTATTCAACAAAGATTATTATTTAAAAAAAAACAAAATTAAAAAACATACTTAACCCAAAAAAAAACTACGGGCCAATCAATCAAAACAAAAAAAATCACAGAACAAGCAAGTCAATCAAGCTCCACTAAGACAAAAATAATCACAGCAAAAAACACCCACGGGGACAAAAAAAACTCATGGAACAAACAAGTGAATCAAGCTCCACTAAGACAAAAATAATCACAGCAAAAAACACTCACGGGGACAAGCCAGTCACAACAAAGAACACCCACAGGCATAAGCCAGTCAATCAAACTCCATTAAGATCAAACTATGAGTAAATGTTTTTTATCTAACCTAGCAGACACTTCTCCACTTAGGTTAAGTAAGATAAAATGGACTTGACTAATTTGAACTTTTTATACACATATTTAAGGAGTCCAATCTAACATATTTCCCCCCTCACAACTATGTGGAGGTGATAATCAATCCGATGATCTCACAATAAGTTTCAAACTTCTACCTTGACAATGCATTAGTCATCATATCAGCATCATTGTCGTCTATATGCAATTTTTCTAACTTCAACAAGCATTAGGTATCCAATGATACCTTACATTAATATGTTTGGATCTAGAATGAAAATTTGAATTCTTACCAAGAGGCATAACACTTTGATTATCCATAAATAATAGATAATTGTTCTGCACAAAACCAAACTCTTACAATAATTTTTTCAACCATAGCAACTTATTGCATACTTCTGTAATAGCAATGAACTCTACCTATGTAGTTGATAATGTTACACACTTTTGCAATCTTGATTGTCAAGCCACAACTCCCCCTGCAAACTTAATCAAATAGCCCGAAGTGAAATTTCTAGAATCAATGTCTCCAGCCATATCTGAGTCTGAGTAACCCATCATGTAGACCCCAAATCTTGCCCGGGCTCCAAATAAAGTCAGAAGATCCCCTATTTAAAGACGGCTGAAGTCTAACAAGCCACTAGGAGAGACTATTAGGCTCCCGTACCAAGATAGGAAGGTTTTTTGGGTCAAAAAATAAGTTTTCTCGCCTCGAAGGGACGAGACCACCTTCTGGATGACCCAGACCGCCGTTTCGTCTCGCGTAGCAAGCGAGACCGCCGTCTCGTCTAACGAGACCCCGGTCTCGTTGCCTACGAAACCCAGACGGCGGTCTCGTTCACCCAGACCCCGGTCTCGTTTCCTGTGAAGAACGAGACGGCGGTCTCGTTGGACGAGACGGCGGTCTCGACCCTGTCAGACGAGACCGGCGGTCTCGCCATCTGACAGCGCGAAAACCTATAAATAGGGGCTCTCCCCCCCTCATTTTCACACACCACAGCTGCATAGCTCTCCCTTCTCTCTAAAACTTCTCTCTAGAATCCCTCCGACGCATTTCCGGAGTTTCTGAGTGTTTTCAAGAGTGATTTTCGGCGTTCGAGAGGTTTCCGACGTCTTGTAGAGTGAAGGGCTGCCATAAAGCACCCTATTTTTCCAAGAGAATTAATATAAAAAGCGTGCTTCGGAGGTTCAAATTCTCTCCTTCCACCTTTACCGCTTTTATTTTAAATTATGCAGTAGACAGTAGGGCCATGTAGTCATACTTTTAAATTCCGCAGAATAAAAAGGGCGAAAGTGTATTTTTCTAGTTTATCAATAAAATAAGTCGGCCTATCATAGGGAACCCGAAAGGGGCGTCGTAAAGGGACTAATACTCCCTTTGCACGTAACCAACTCCCTTACCCAACTCTAGTTCTAATGACCAAAGTTGGTTTACGAAAACCAACGCCTTTTTAAAACCCCTTTTCCGATGTTTATGGTAAAAATATCGGTGGCGACTCCATAGAACCCAAAATAAATAAGTCCTTGGGTTAGCCCGGTTGTCGGACAACTCAAGGACACTTTTCGAAAACCTCGTCTTTAGGTTAGCCCGGTTATCGGACAACCTAAAGACGTTGTAACCACCAATAAAAATGCGAAAACAAGAGGGTCGATAAAATCATCGCGTCGCTCCGACCGCCTCGTTCTGACGGCGGCGACAGATGGCGACTCCACTGGGGAAGCCTAGAGAGTTAGTCCCATTTAGTGATAGGTCGGCTTAAACAATAAATAAACCAAGAAAATAACATTTTTGCCCTTAACTTGTATTTATAACATGTTTTATTGTTTGACTTTCAATAAACTGTTGTTTGTTTATACTTACGCAATTGATTGAGATATAAACTGCACATAATCCCTTGCACACTACAGTTCCTCCTATACCCGGGGGCAAGTGAGATAACCA